CTTTAAGTTACTGATTTTTTTTCTTGAAATTAGTAGTTTACCAAGTGTCGGACAACTTCTTGGCTTTCTGAAAGAATTTTTCTCACTATTCCAACGTTGAGCAGGTTGGGGTGACCTCACTATTCGCAATACTGTACTATTAGGGGAGAGGCGATTTGTAAACCCTTGGCGACTTAATTAAACATTACTTAGTGGGCGTGTCGGCCAGTATGAGCGTGCACAGCGTCAAGGCCGTTCTCTGCCTGCTTGTTTGAGCGCGCATGCGACAAAAAGTGGTAGAAAACGAGTAATACGATCGATATAATACAGTCATATCATTTGTTCGCTTAAAACTGGTGGAGAAAGGGTTTGGCACCTGCGCCAAACGCAGCCGCACGACACGCCCAACCGTCCGCAGAGAACTGCACTATATATAACGGTTTATTAAGATACTGTGATCGGCCTTGAACTACGAAACGTTACATTATGGAATAGTAATAATTATGATTTCATTATAATAGCAATTGAGCAATCGTTGTAATTTATGATAATAATATCTACTTAATGAAGATTTTTTCCTGTTTTCTTGCGTGAGGAGTGGAGGGGGGGGGGGGGGTAAAAGGGTTAGCTCGAAATCCGTTTCGCCTAAGTTTCATTTGTGCGCAATTTCTTCAATTTTTTCCGTTAGGCAGGCAGGCACATACTACAAGAAGGAGCTCAAAAACCAGGTGATCAAGATCTTTACCTAGGCTGTGAAATGAGGGAAGATCTTCGGGTTAGTCAGATGCTTTGTGTTAGAATTGCTTTTCGGAGGTGATTCATCTATCCTGAAGTTGATCTTCTCACTTCTCCTCACTATTCCTGGGTTGTTTTGCCTTTTTTTATTACATTATCACGATTTTATGGCACAATGGAAGCAAATTTATTGTCGCTGTGCCATTTCTCTGCAACGATTGGCCAGAATAGCGCAAATGTTCGTTCAACGCATCATTTTGTTTCCAGCCGATATTTTGGCACATTAGTGAAAGTTCCAACGGCTACTAACCCTGTTGGATAAAGCGGGCAAACAGAACCTTATACCTAAAAGGCAGTCCATACGCCAAAGTAATTCGTAGGCGTCCTTCCTGGTTCAAGCAGTCTGGACCTAATTCTCCAATATTTTCCCGCTTTGGCGGATTCACCGTGAGACAAAGGTGCTGCGGCCTTATAAGTGGCAGTTCTGACGCCTCCCTAGTTACCCCACCTAGAAACTAAAGGCTATTTCTACCACAAGTTCAATTTTAACACCTTGTTTTTCGTTTTTATTTTGCCTTTAGGTTGTATTAGAATTGGACAACGCGAAGAAACTACTCGTTAGCCTGAACTCAGGATTCGTTTTGATGGCATAAAACGAGCAGGTCCGGACAACTCATAAAGTGAGGCTGCTAGGACGTCTTGGCGGTGTTCTCACGGTTTATTTTTGCTTTTTTAATCCTTGAAGGGTCACTGAGCGACTGCAGGTTCGTTATCGAACGCTGCACCCAGAATGAAACTGCGAGGTTTGCCTGACCCTTAGAAACCCTGGGATAGTTTTCACGAGATTACCGGATTGTTGATAGAATTCCACATAAACTCCCCCCCCCCCCGCCGCCCTCCCCAGCAAGCACACTAGCGCCACTGTTAGTTTACAGGCTGGTAGTGGTATTCCAATACCCTACACTGAAGTTACGCTGCCAAAACCGCAACATTACAGTTTTTACGACCCTTTGTTTTCCAACTTCTCTGAAATGTATGACTGTCGATGGTGGTCCGAGGAGGTGACAGGCATGACAGTCAGTCCATTTTGGTCACACTAGCATAGCTTTTACCCCGTAAACGATGACAGTCGAGCGTTAGAGACTATACTAGCGCACTGGTCCTCTTACTATTAACTACGTCTTCCATTCCATCATTACTTGTTAATTTATTCAACGTCTTTGAATGTGTACCAAAAAGCCATTAAAAATTCTTAGTATCTATGGAAGGTAGGAAAGTTGGTGTAGGAAAAGATACCTACAGGCTTGGAAAATCTTGAAAAATCTGTCTTTTTTGATTCTTATTATTCCTTTCGCTCGATACCCCTCTTTACTCATGTCTTGTATTTGATTGTTACAAAAAAACTGATAAGAACTCTTAAAGTCCCCGCGATTGCATATTGTGGGACGTGGCGGTCATTCATAGGCACATAGCCTTCAAATGACCCTTCAGGGAAGAAATAGCAAAAAAAAATTATGGAGTACCCCCTGGTTTACGACCTGGAACGCGCTCTGGGCGAGTTTTCCGGACCTGCTCGTTTTATGCCAGTGAGTCGATATCCTGCCGGCCTTGGCTCACTTATCGTTTCCTAGAGTGATCCATCCTAATAATATTCAGCAGTGAGGAAAAAAGCGAAAAACGCAGTGTAAAAATTGAACTGGTGACAGAAAATAGTCTTTGAGCTTCGTTGGGCGGGACAACTAGGGAGGCGTCAGAATTGCAACCGCGCAACTGGGATATTCTTACAGATTTAGAACCAGGAAGGAGGCCTGCGAATTGCTTGAGGGCGGGGACTGTATTTAGTAGATAAGAGCGGTATAGGGCAGGAAACAAGCACGAACGCAGACTTTCTACTGGACTTGATCCGTACTTTTAGACAATTTTTTTTCTTATTTGTTCTTCCGGGTAAAAATGGGAGATTTAGAGAAAAAGCTTCAATTACCGAAAAACGCATTTCATTTTCCGTCCTTTTGCATGAATTTAGTCGCTTGTATCTCTAAGATTTAGGGCAGATTTTGCTAGACTTGTAACGTGTACTTACAAAACATTTTAATTTGATGAACCATTCGGTCCGACCGTAGGGATTGTTCGATTTTATGCGTGCATTATTATCCATAGTGTATTGCGTGGGTGGCCGGGCTTCATGCTGTGCACAGACTCATATCCCAGCCATATGACTACGTCACGTGTCGTGTAATCATAGAATAACAAATTCAATATTTACTCGTAATCGTTGAGTTCCTGTCTGTTCCCTTTTCAGGCTCTCTAACGATAGGCGCGCTATGAATATGTGTTAATGAATCAGCCTATTCATAGTGTAATAAGGTCATTGTGTTTCGATTTGTGTTCAAAACATTGATTTGTTCCCGATTTGCGTCTTCTGGTAGTGCTGACGTTTTTTCAATCGTTTTTCTTCATCTTTGTTTTTTTTTCTTTATTTTCACTTTATGTCACAGTGTATGATTACTTAGCAGTAGATGTTCTCGTTCGCATAAGGTATGCATGTCCACAGACGTTCAAGATGCCGTTTATGTCAGGTGGAGCAGCAATACACTGAGAGGGTAGTGAAGTAGGGAGGTCTCCACCTTGGGGACGAAGTCTCCGCCCACGTCAGGTTCGCAGTGTTCTCTGTCGTTGGTATTCGGGTTTTGGTTCTGTTGGCAGCAGCCAATGTGTGACAAAAATTGACAACATGGCTACTAGTAGTTGTTAGACTGTTAGAAGAATGATAGTGAGACATGCATGACTGAATTAAGTGAATGACATTCCAGCGCGCTATCTCTGTGCGACTTTGGCTGTCTGCGCTCTGAGCCTAACCTGTATTAGGGGAAGGGACATTAGTTCGATGCCGCGTGCCCCGCTCAGTTACGTTAAGAAATTTTGTGTTTCGGCAGCGAAGCTGAATAGTGGCAGAGAACGGGAATTCCGGGTGATAAGATCTGTTTCACGGTACAGCATTTCTAGCAGCTTATGGTATGGCACTGGGAGGCTTATGAACTTCCTTCGCATTTTACTCGCCTTCATGAATGTTCATAAATAATGTTATAACCCTGTTTTTGATCTACCAAAATTTCTGCAGTCTCCAATAATGGAGTCTCTTCCCATCACCCCTCCGAATTTTAATACCTGGCGAAGGTGATGTAGTGGCGAGTGGCGTGTTTACCACGCGCGCGTCCGAGGTTCAAATCCCGAATCGGCTCTCGGGCAGGCCAACAGGCGTTCTACTCTCCGGCGACGGTACGTTGATGCTGGGTTCGCGTTCACATTTGTTTGCGTTCACAATTTGCTTCAGCTTACGCCAGCGTACAACAGCGTTTCGAGCTTACGCTGGCGCCTGCGACTAGGTAGTATAGGTATCGATTACCATACGCCAGCGTCGACCAGCGTCACCCAGCGTGCAGCAGCGTTTCGAACGACTAGGAAAGTATAGATATGTAACTAGCGTGTGCCAACGTACAGCAGCTTTTCGCGGGCAGTTTTGCTCAAGCTCGAATTGCCTGCGAAAGCGCTAGTGTGCGCTGTCGGTACCTATACTTTCCGAGTCGCTAGCGTATGCTCGAAACGCTGCCGTGCGCTGGCGTACACCGGCGCACGCTGGTGCAAAGTATGAGCGCAGCCTCTGGGAGGATAAGGAGAATGACTTGTACATTGGATAGCCCCCGAAAGTCATTGTATAGGCCACCAGTACGATTCTAAATGGAAGTAGAATGCGTGCCGCACTCCAACAAGGGATTGGTCAGCGGCTAACACTTTACCTTTTTTTCCTTTTTTATTCATCATTGGTACGATTTCCACGGTGCCCAAACAGTTGATCGTTCTTTGTTCCTTTTCGATGTCAGATCTCTGTTTTCTGTAACTTGTTAAATAAGCTGCTTGAGTACACGGTTAGTACGCTTACGCCGTATTATTTGATACAATATCCTCTGTGTACGCTAGTGATGACGTGTGATTTTGCCGTGCTCGATTTTTCTGTGCGAAGTTACCATTCGGGCTACCCAATCGATATAATTTTGATTTTTTAGCCTCATTAATGTCTCATTAGATACCCTCATCGGAATGATTGAACGATGGCGAACGACTACCACACTGGTGTACATGTGAGTAACTTTTGTCCCAATTGTTTCTCAGTATTTACCAAGCAGTACTTATTTAGAGCTGTATTATGGTCCTGCATATGCTGCGATAATGTTTGTTATGCTGATGGATTTAAATCACTAGTAAACGATTATTTCGGTGTTAATCGGTGAGTTATTTTTCCCCTAAAAATGACAGTTTCTCTTCTTTTTTCTTGTTATACTTATCGTTTTTTGGTCCTATTTTTTCAATTCGCAGCAGTGCTGGGAGTTTTATGGTATGGGGAGGAGCCACTTTTAGCTAGGTAGAGTCACGTCATGCCTGTTCGTCTGTACTCTCTCTCTCTCACTGCACTATCTTATCGGTAGCATGGCGTGGCTTAGTTGCGCCAGATTGTGACGTAGCTAGACCTCGTTGGCTTCCCCGAAGCACATAGCGCCAAAGTTTGTCCTCTGAACATATAATGGGGATAAAAAATGTTTGAACATGCTCAATGTGGCTCATATTCCCACCATTTGAAATTTTATGTTTACACTATCGATTCACTTGGTCCCATGTGTGCCAAAAACACAATAACGTAAAACATTTGCTAAGCGCATGGGCTGCTTCCGCCCTGGGCCGTGATGGTCATAGTCAATGTCCAGTTGAACATGTACACTCCATATCTCGGAGGTGAATAGGGCGTGGCTGCGTACTCCGTTTAAAAAGGGAAAAGAGCGTTTTTCGGAGGATGTTTCCAGTCGAGACAAATGTAATCGCGTTTTGTGCTCTGGACTAGAGGGATTACTACAGTTATTTTGTCAAAACGGTAAATCCCACCAAAAGTGCAGCACGCCCCGTTTGAATGAAGTACGCAGCCTCGCCCTCCCGTCTCTCGGATATGGAGTGTATTTCCCAGCGTGGTCTCCGGATGATTCGCTTCTCCTCATACTGGTTTTCAATAAAGGTCTCCTATAAGTGCATTCGTATTGATTGACATTGCTTCAAAGCTAGTGAGATTATAAATGGGTTTATCGTCTTTTCTTGACAGAAACCCTTGGGGGGGGGGGAAATATTATCTATGGGTTCTAACATATTATCAAAGACAGGAGGAAATCAATACAAAAATCTGTCACTCGTTCCACCAATACCTTTTTCTTACATTTTCGGCTAAGTCTGAGGGTACAATGATGGCAAAATGTGGGTAGTGTTGTTCAAAAGAGGATCAGGAGGTGCTGAGCGGTTTGAGTGGGCAGCAGAAAAAGACTGAGGGCATCACAAGTAGGACCTCTATTGTCCTGGACTTTTTGTCAGTTTTTGAAGTGCCGTCTTCTGCATGTGTCCTGGCTATCTGTTAGAGTTGCCGAGTAGGTTCTCTGTGCCCCAGGTTCACGACTTGCTTGAGACCGGGAGATGGACAAAACAATCGTGGTTGTCGCGTCCGTCGCGCGCGGCGTATGGTGCGGTCTTGCGTGGAACTTCTCGATGTGCATCTGTTTTTTGATTGGAATACAGAAACTGAGAAGAACTCAAGCGGAGACAAGGCTCCATACCAGGCGATATCAGCTTTTACCCATCCCTTTGACACTAAAATACGAACGGCCACGCAGGACAACTCGTCTGTCGCGCGCAACGTTGCTCGCCACGCCCACCAGCGGGGCATATTACGATTGTCTTGTCACATACTCCGTAATACCATTGCTAGGAGCTTTCTTTATAGCCATCAAATGAGCTCCAAATGTACTGCTCTGCTTCTCCGCATGTTTTAAAGGTTCAAATCGAGTGCATGGTAATTGTTACTGCACTAGTATAATAATAGCGGCATTAGTAATCAAAATAAGTAATCGTGTTCAAAAGGAATACATATGAAACTACTGCCGCTGTCTCCATATTAATGGACCATCGTTTTCGGAATGTGTAATGGAAAAATTTCAGATTAGCGAACTCCTCATGTCCGATAGAAGTGTCGTTACGATTTGATCATGAACTTTCTGGTAAACTTCCACTGAGTGGTACGACGACATTGTCGAATTCAACCCATAGTCAGCCGAGGTCTACTGGGAACTGCACAAACAATCTCACTGCTGCAGATTCTCTTAGGTAATATTTTTTCGATTTTTGTTTCACTGTCAGATGTACAATTTGTACTTTGTTTGTGCCCCGAAGGATAATTGTATGTTTTCTACGCGTCTCATTGCGCCTGTAATTCACCAGTGTCGATATTACTCTTCCTACAGTCTTGTTTGCTGCGAATGTGGGGCGTCTCGCCTGATATTGGTTTGGCTCCGCGCCAGTCCTCTTTGCTTGTTTCTTTCGGCAAGCGACAAGACTATCAAATCCTTTGTCTCATTCGTTTTCCACCAATTGTTGGTACTTACCAGCTTCAACTGGTGGAGAAGGAGCTGGCAGAGCGCCAGACCCAACCTCCCTGAATGCCTTGTCATCCGCATTGAACAAAGCTGTGCGATAGTTTCTTCGCCAATAATGTTTCAATGGCGGAGGTGGTGTAGTGACAAGTGGCGCGCTTACCACTCGGGCGCCGGGTTCAAATCCCGGGTCGACTCCCGCCCAGGCCAACCAAGCCTTCTACCCTCCGGGGACGGTAAATTGGTACCAGATTCGTCTGGGAGGATAAAAGTCATTGTATAGGCCACATCGCATTCAATAAGCCACTACGATTCTGAATGGAAGTAGAATGCGTGCCGCATCCCACAAAGGGATTGATCAACGGCGAAGACTTTATCCTTTATCCTTTAATGTTTTAATTTTCCTTTCACGAAGTGTTGCAATTTATTTTCACTTTTGCAGGCATCCACCATCCAAGCTTGCCACTGAAGCAGCTGAGAATGATAGCTCCGCCCAGAAAACGGCGGAAGAAGCGCACCAACCAATTGTGACGTTTGATGAGTGGACCAAGGAGAAATTAAAGCAGGAGCATAGAAAAGTTGTGGTGAGAGCGGCTCAACAGTTTCTGGCGCAGTTCGACTTGGCGGGGGGGGGGGCATTGAATGGTACTCACCTAAGGTTTTGCGTTTTGTTTTGTTTTGGCTTGTGAACAGTTCTCCTGTCACCAAAATGGTTCACTCACATCATTTTGCAATTTTACAGTTTCAGTTGAGAATTTGCAGGTCTTAGCAAAGTAGGACCTGTAATCCAACATGAACTTGCAAATAAGTTGCGAAATTGTAAGATGCCCCTCCAAGCCGAACAACGCGCAGCTTTTCTCTGCAGTTTTTGTCATCTAAGGAACATTTTCAGCCGCCTTCACCAATTTCCGAGACCGGCACACCGAATGTTCGCACCCAACATCTACCTCCTGCAGCTGCTGCAGCTCGTAACTATGCTAGCAAGGAGTGTGGGGCTAAGGTGCTACTCAGTAACCCTGAAGCAGAAAATACAAAAGCGATATTGAACGAAAAGGTAGTTAAGGGGTTTTGTTGAAATTGTAGTCTGATTCGCTGTGGATGAAGGGGCGTGTCCGCCGAATCCCTTCTCTTCCGGTTGCTGAAGCGGGTATGCGGCGACAGTTGAAACGAGTGATACGAACGATAGGATACGGTCTTGTCACTTGTTAACTCCAACAGTTGGTCGAGAAGGGGTTTGGTACCGCGCAAACTCATCCCGTCTGACCGCCCCTTCGTTCCTAGCAAACAAGGCTATGTTCACAAATTTTCTTCTGCACATCCCCAGACTGAGTTTGTGTTTTCCAGGAAAAGGACGAATACATGAGGAATCCATGTGAAAAAGCTGAAAATAAGTTTGTGATTCTTGAGCTTTGTGAAACCGTTCAGGTTTGTACCAACTATTGTTCATTATTAAAGTTTTAATGCTATTTTTTTTGTTTCGTTTGGCGAGGCTCATTGCACTTTTTCTATCGAGTATTCTGAGACTGTTTCAGCCTCGCAGTATAGAACTCGCTAATTATGAGCTGTTCTCGTCCGGTCCACGTACCATTCGATTATGGGCTGCGGAGCGGTTTCCTACTGGAGAATGGCAACTTCTGACAGAATTAACTGCTATTGATTCTCGACAAATTCAACAGTTCCCCATAGCTAGCAATGGTGCTTACGTGAAATTCATAAAGGTTAGCATGATTTTTTCAAGTTCTTTGGCTTCCTATACTTTGAATTTTTCATGATAGCGGTTGTTTGACGCCGCAGTTCGAGCTTTGGTACTCATCCCAAGGTTGCTGAAATATGAGTAGCATCTTGCCCCCAAGAGGTACTCCCCGCACCTCACGCTTTTCGGTCGATGCGCTACCCGTGACACTAGAAAGACTAGGGCCCAAAAGCCATGGAAGACAATTTCAGCGATGGCACTATAGTATCGTTCACTCACAAACCATACTCGCTATTTTATTCTCCAAGGGAGAAGAAAGCAAAAAATGATGGTGAACCAGTAAGTAAAGACCTGTGGAAAGCTCAGGACGAGTTTTCCGGACCTGCTTGTTTTATGTCAACAGATCGATATCCTGCCAGGGAAACCGAACTCGTGGCAGAAAACAGCTTTCGAGTTCTGGTGGGTGGGGCAACGAGGGAGGCGTCAGATGCCACTTAAGACGCAGTTACTACTGTTTGGCGCAGTGTGCGTAGCGCACCGTAGCCGCGTCATATTCTGACGCGACAAGGTCACGTCTTGCTGTCCAGGGAATCCAAGCCGCATGCACACTTTCTTGTAAGAGGGTGCGGATCAGCAGACATGGCGTGGCTGGGCCGCTTGGGGGTGACCCGTCCCGGGGGACAAGCGCCGATATTTGTCATGAAAATTTCCTTTTTTCGTTTCTCGCCTGTACACTCTAGTTCGCTGCGGACGGTTGGGCGTGTCAGGCAGTATGAGTGTGTCACCCCGTCAAAGCCGTTCTCTGCCTTCTTGTTGAAGCGCGCATGCGACAAAAAGTGGTAGAAAACGAGTAATACGAACGATATGATACAGTCATATCATTTGCTCGCTTTAACAACTGGTGGAGAACGGGTTTGGCACCGCGCCAAACTCATCCCGCCTGACACGCCCAACCGTCCGCAGCGAACTACACTATAGTTTTCTCCTAAACATGCTCTGTTGTTTGCAGGTAGAGCTCTTGTCTCACTACGGAAACGAGCACTATTGTACGTTGTCGGTACTGAAAATCCTTGGCATTTCAATGGTTGACGAATATGAAGCTGAGGTATTCTATTATATGTTCAATTCAGATTTTGAATAATTCTTTGGTTTTGTTCAAGTTGAGTTTCATTTTGAATTTCCTTAAAAATGCCTATCTCATTTTCAGGCAGAGGCGGCTTCTGTAGCTCACACACGATCCAATGTGGGTTCTGTCGACCTAAAACTTAACGGCACATCTACTGAAAGCACGGACACCGTTGTTAACCCTGCTGCAACTAGCCCGCAACACACGCAAGCGCAGGCATGTCTTTCTTTCAAAATTAGCGCCCAATTTTTCCTTCAGAAGTGTTTTTTTCCCTCGCTGTTTCTTTCAGTGCGTAGTGTTCGGGCGGCATATTAATTGCTGTGGGCGTGGCTGGGGGCGAGCAGTTACTCACAACGTCATTGGTGGAAGGACCGAGTACTACCACTCACCGGAACTCAATCCCTTTGAACGCGTCGATCTTCTCTTTTTCTCTGCACTCTCTCGTCCGCATGGCACTCTATGGCCGTTGTGACTTCGCTCACTCCAGCTTTTCACCGACTATAAGTAGCTCACCCACCCCGGAGTCCCCTCCCCTTGAAAAATCCCGTTTCCTGGCTCGCCATACGTTTTTTGCACGTTTCGATGCTTTGGCAGCCGCTGCCCTCTATCCGTCTGCGTCACAGGGTTTCGTAACAGGACCATGCACAAAAGTTCAAGATGTCACGTAACCGAACTGAGTGAGATGTGACCAAACGCTTTCTCACTGCCCTTACCCCGATCACGTTACCGTGAGTACCCGCCACTAGCCATTTTGGTAAGTATCAACCAATAACAGCTAGAAAATAAGTAGTTATACATTTCAGTTACAGAAATTCAGTTTCCATTTTCAGTACGAGCTTCTATGATAGGTTTGCTGAGAGTTTTTATTAAAGGTTAAGGAAACCGGTGTTCAAACGGACGAGCCTCAACCTTCTACGATCAAGGAGGAAACATCCGAATCGAAACCCTCAGTAATAGGAATTGTTGATGTATGCCTTTCTTAACTGATTTGACAATAACTTCTGAACTTTTTCAGTTTTGTTATAATTCCAGGAAGTAAGTGGAGGATTGATCAAGAAGATTGTGGATGTTGTGAAGGACAATTTCGGAGGAGCTAAAGAAAGTAATGAAAGTCATTCTAGGTAAGTGATTCGGCGATTCTGAATTTCGAATTTATTCGGCTGTTATTTTTTTCTATTTGGCATTATTTTCCAGAGAATATATGGTGTCGAGTTCGTTCATGGCGTGTTATTTTTGCCCGAGTGATGGCACTTACATTTATCCACGACAGTTTTGCCACGCTTTTGTGTGGAAGTCGGCGTCACCACCGCCATCTGCGATACAGTAAGACTTTTGTGATTTTATATCATAAAAATTTATTTACTCGGTGATGTCATCATTATCAGGGAGGAGATCATTCCACCGAAACCTGCCGGAAAGGCTGGTCGTGCTCCAAGATCTGCCGGTCGCTCCAGGCGAAATCGTCTTGCAAACTTTCACCGCAGGTCCTTACAAAGGTTGCGTCCTGCGTTGCTCAACAACAGTCGAGCTACACCTCCAGCGGAGAATAACAAGCAACAGGAGTCGCAGCCTTCAAAGGTATGCTTGATTTCGCAAACAGTACTCATCTATAATATAGGTTCATCCCTATGAGAACTAGCCCTGGGGTGCAGCTTTACGCAGTACTTCTAACTGTCATATTTTTCAAGCATGTGGGAAAGGAAAAGGTAGTTTCGTGGCTCGATCACCACGTGCACGATCTGGAGTCAAATCCCACATTGGTTGCCGTCTAGGGTGAACAAGTTTCTACCCTCCGGGCTGGTATATTACTGGATTCGTCTGGAAGGCAAATAGCACCGACTTTTACATCGGTCGACCTCAGCAATTCCTTACATAGGCCATAGCGAATTGAATAAGCCACTGCAATTCTCAATGGGTTAGGTTGGCGGGAAAGTTTTGTCACTTATTTTCGAATAATGTAAGCTCTTGTACAACAAGGAGTGGTCTCTCTGTTAGTACCACTCGCTTGCCTCTTGCTCCTTCTGCAATATGCACAAGGATTTTATCCGCTACCATCAGCCCCGACCCATCCAACAACTTCCACAAACTATTTCACCTACCACCCTGACGCCAGCGTGTTAGCTGCAGATGCCAAATTGATGGAGCTGAATAAGCACGATGCCCCCAATCATCGAGCAACCTTACCACGACAGTGACGCTTCAAGGCGGGAGCCTAGGGAGCCTACAGTTTTGATGACGAAGTGAGGTTTGGGTTACCTGCAAACTCAGCTTGAGGGAGCTATGGGTCGGGAAACTGCTGGATGAAGAAGCTGCTTCCTTGGTCAAGGCGTACGCAAAGCAGCTACGAGATCTAAGGCGTATCGTGGATCAGAGGGAAAAATTTGTCCGCACAGCCGGCCCTCACCAAGATAGTGCAACGCACTTGGTCCAAAAAAGTTCGAGCCGTACCTCATGCAATGGAGCTTGATCTCTCTCCCCTTGCACTTGTGTAGCACAGACATCGCCCCTTCTAATAGCAAGTTGCCTTCCGTAATCGATCGTTATGCGGACGAGAAAACCTCCATAACCCAAGTTCAAGTCAAAGTTGTGCGTCGTGTCTCCCTGCATAGTGAAGCGATGGCATCCATGAGGTGCTCAAACAGTGGCAAGGACCCCGCAGTTACATTGCTGTACAATTTTGATCTTACACTCCTCTCTATAAAAAGAAAGCCTAGTTTGAAAAATGTGACAGAACTTTCCCGCCAACCATACAATGCGTGTCGCGTGCCAGAAGAAGATTTGTCAATTCTGGAGGCGTTTTCCTTTCATCTCGTTTTTGAGGGATTTTGTTAGCCGTCCTCGCTGCCCTTGAAGTGACCAAACACATTAAATTTTGGCTCCTTAAGGGGCTAGTCGTCACTGGGCCCTTTATCTCAATACCATAGGATTTTTACGTTTTTTTTTTCGTCATGAAAACTGTTTTAAAAACTTCCTGGCTCCTCAATACTTTTTGAAGGTCACGCCTGATGCTCAAGCAAACGCTCGCGCTCAAGCAGTCCCTTCGGATGCTTGGCCAGCTTCGTCAATGAGTCACAAAGTATGTTGTCACACATTTGACCGTGTTCTGTTACTCATAATACAGTATTTATCACCGCGAAGCAAACGGGCGTGTCAGGCAGACGTTCAGACTTCGCGAGGCAGCCTTTGGTCGCGCCTTTGACGCGATCGATACGCATGCTTTCGACTGCATCGATCGCGTCGAACGCGCGACCGAAGCGCTGCCGTCGCGAAGCTTGAACGCTGCCTCAAGAGTTATGGAGTCGAGCCCAGCTGTGGCTAACAAATCTTAGGGAAGGCTGTCGCTGCTCGGCACCACTCCTTGCCCTCTAACACGCCCCCGGCGCGCCGTGATAAAATGAATATCCTGTATTCTTAAGTTGGCATTGTATTATTTGTTGGTATTTTTGTCTTTTTCAGGAATCTGTTTTTATGAAGCTCAACAAACGTATTGCTGCACTTGAACTGAATATGTCCCTATCTAGCGAATACTTAAGTGAACTTAGTCGCCAATATGTAGCACAGACTGATGAGCATCAGAAACATTTGAAACAAGCAAAGAAGGTTGTAGACGAAGCCGTCGAAACCATTTACGCTCGTGTCAATGACACACTGGCGGATAAGGTTTGTTGAGTTTTTTTGGGCTTGGTTACCGTTTTGTGTTTTCTTTCGTTTTTTTTTCTCTGCTTACTCGATCGAAAGGACGTGTTAAAAGACGGCGGTGTTCGGCTTGGGGGGAGCATTATCCTAGTCCACTAGTTGCTGTGTTCTCAAGCGCTGGAGACGAATAGGTGCACACTTTAATATATAAGAATGCTACAACAATTATCGCAGAAAGTACCGGTTTTATGCACAGGTTAAAATGGGCGGATCAATGTTATTGGCTGACCTGGGCTTTCATCATCACCTGCAAAGCCTTGACCTGTGTGATAAGATCAAGGGTGATCGCTGATCCCACGCTCGTTTCTTTTATTGGTTCCCTTTAACTTACCAACAATAAAGTATAAGTATACAGGGGGCCAATAAAGAACGACACTTTTCTCACTCGACTTTCAAGGCGATGTAAAACCCGACGACAGAATCACCACACACCCGTAAGTTACATTTCATCAAATTTGAGTGGAATTTCCACCATACAACAACACATTGTACACTATCATGATGCTCCGCCACAGCCTTCTGGACGAGCGCCATCGAGAGATTCTGCCACGCGATGCCTGAGTTCAGCGAGATCGTTGATTTCTCCGCCACTGTAGACCACCCTGTTGAGCTCCGCCCGAACCGGGTAATTGAGGGAGTTTAGGTCAGGTGACCTGCTTAGATATTCCATCTTCTTCAGGTACTCAACGCCCTTCCATTCCAAGTAGAGTTTTTCCAACGCCCTTCGATTCCATGTGGTGTCACCCAATCCTGTAGCAGTACGAAGTTTCCAAGATGGTGCGGGCGACGACATGAAGGCAGGATATTTCCCTCAAATTGGATCGATGTGACCGTCAGCGTTCACTTTCGTGGGGTCCTCGAAAAAATATCGGTTTTCCCATTCCAGAACTTCCGGTCTATATCATCCGTACCTTGGCGACTGCGGTGAAGATGATATCCTGGACCGTAGCGACGTTGTCGGAGCTGCTCGATGTTGGAGGTCTTCCAGATCGAGAGTACTGGTCTCCAGGTAGCTATCCATGGGTGACTCCATACTAGAAGTTTCGCAGCTGTTTGGAGGTGACGTGAATTCCAAAGGTCTTCTCCAGTCAGGCTGCGACTGGAGATGACTTCATATTTTGGTGTACATGAAGGTGATGGGGAGCCAGCTCCTGCTTATCGAGGAACATCTTGGGTATCTTCCGCCCTGGTACTCGTATCCACGTCTTCTCTCTGGGCTGCGTAAACTTTACTGATATGTGACTCGGCCAAAGTGTTTTTCATTGGGCGCCAGAGTTTAAATTCGTGCTACTGCATAGCTTTACAAGTGTTAGAGGAACTCCACTTGGTTACGGGCGCATCAGTGATCGGTAGGAACCAACAAAGGGCCCCCTAAGCCGAAGTGCGCCTAGAAATCTCGTTTATTTCCCGAAATTTTCTCTATAGAACTTCATTATCAGGTCGATAGTGTTGATTTATGTTCTAGATAGCGGCGCTTCGTAAAGAGGTGGACACATTATCGGGCTGGCTCACATCGATGCGTTCGACGGTATCTAAAATGACGGTGCGACGATATGCAAGGGTTACAGAAGGTCCAGAGAATGAAAAATGCATCCTCAAACAAACAGATCTTCATCGATATTCACCTCCGGATGATGGACTATGGACGGTAAGTCTTGTATTTCAATAATTTCTTTCAGCGGTCTCCTAAAATCTCGATTATAAATATTTTTTGCAGACCGAACAAGTAGTCTATATGGTGGTTTCTACGCAACTTGTTACTGTATTGATTCTCGCTCTCCTTAGTCTCTGTTATCAACGTTTTGTTTCCCAACAGCGACAGCTTTCGGAGGGCCAAAGAGCTCAAGTTAATGAGTTGATCAACGAACGGGTTATGGAAACGTTAGGGAAAAATTGTGAGTTTTCAATATCATATTTTTTCCCATAGACGTTAGCATGTTTGTCTACCTTTCCTCACCCAGTTTTCGGAAGAGGGCTTGAATCGTAACAGAAGGATCTCCGAAGGCAGCTTGGACCTAAAATGTCAGATCCATTAGCTTCGAAAACCCGGCGACTATGTTGTATCTTTCGACACCTGTAAGACTACTACCGTGTACAAATTCCTAATCGAATCTGCCCACGTGACAAAGTTAAGGAAAACTGGCCAGGGCTTCTGAAAAATGCGGTAGTAAAGATGAACGGTACCAATTTATTTTACCAAACTGACTTTTTGTGGTGATAAGGGTTTTCTGCATTTGTTATAAGACCAGTGCGAACAGAGCATGCCGTACGTTGAGATCCATTAGCGCCAAGAAAGTGGAGGGTCCCTTATGTGGATTGGAGAGGAGGAGGGGAGAATGGGGTCTGGTGACCTTCTTTGTTGATTTTCCTGTTTCTAGCGCACTTAATGTTTAGAATAACATTTTTCGGTAATGTATCAAATTCAACAAACGAATTTTTACTTCCGAGCGGGAAAGGGAGGCTACCTGCTACCGGTTATCAGAAAAAGTAATTTTCACCAGTGGTCGGCCTGGTATATCCTAAATCAGTGAGATGCGGTAGGCGTGGCCGCGTCATCTCAAACTTGACGCTGCTGTAATTTTGTGATTGGTCGTTCTCGTTCGGAGGCAATTGTGGTTTAGCCTTTGTTTATCGTAGAGCAAGATGGCAATTGTCTTGAATGGGAATTTTGTGAGAAATTTATCTTACGCCATAGTACCCAGATCAGCCACGCCTTTCACATCACAGGGATATGGAGTATTTAAAGCTTGTCTAAAACGGGAAAATCCAACAATTAAAAACTCTTCTTTTGTTGCCCAGTACGGTATTACTTCTCTGGCTGCCAAATACGACTCCTCGTGGTGGGATTTACACGATCATAACGTACGCAGTCTGACTGAACCATTCATGCTTGGAAAATAGGTGTGCACGATAGCGGTGCGTGTTGAGCCGCTAAATCATGAATCATTTGCGTCATTGACTGGTACGTTATAAAAGGCTGTCCTTTCACGTACATCTGATTTCGCCATCATTAGTTGGGGCGGTTTCAAGAGAGATTGAATGATCATAGCAGCGGCGTTTCCATCACTGGGTGTTTTTTCTTCCTAAATCGACCGTTAAACGATTAGCACTGGTAGAGCAAAACAGCGGGAGGCGGGCTGATCCCGCCCCTTCTGGCTCCGCCCCGTGATAGCGACGTTAGGCAGCGTTCAGACTTCGCGACGGCAGCGCTCCAGTCGCGCGATTTGACGATCGATGCGCATGCTTTCGACTGCATCGATCGCGTCGAACGCGCGACCGAAGCGCTGCCGTCGCGAAGTCTGAACGCTGCCTTATCAACTACAGTGGTTGGCGGACAATGAATGATGGGTTTTCCAGGTTCTCTTTTGCAACTGTACGATAAACAAATGCTTATTCGAAGTAAACAACGAAGCCCTCATGTTGAAGAGACGAGTCCTTCGCGTTCTGATGCAAATGTGAATTTCATGGCGGAATGTAGCTCGTCATCTTCCGCATTGCATAGCGACGAATCAAGTACTGAAGAAATACCGATATCAGGTCGTATGTTAATGCCTTCTGAAATGCGTGCAATAAGTTCCGTGGCGCTGCTCACCTGATTGGCCTGTACTGTGCTAAATAGCTTTCTGATTTCCTTTTTTGTATAGTATTTATGTACAATGTTTCGAAGCCATTGCAAATTCTTGTGCTAAAGGATTTTCATGTTGGGCCAGAAGATACTTTCAACTAGGGATGGGGTTTTATTTAGTTGTGAATTAGACAGTACCCAGTGGGACAGAGACTATTTTTTTGGTATGCAATTCAATTTTCATCTAAATATTTGTCTGTACAGATAGTTTTCTTGAGAGAGAGTAAGAAGTAGGGGAGTCGCTAGTATATTATGATATCGTCATAACGAAATTGGATGTTCTCTTATGATCTACTTGTGATGTTTATGTGTCCTGTTTAACAAGTACGGGACAAATGCAGCTCTCCTTTTGTATGTGATCCTACGATCGTAATCGCCTTCGTTGCCACATCAGTGTAAATAGTATTGTAAAACCTGTGGAGTGAGTACAATCGTGGAGTGAGTACTATCTATGTTCAGAGATTAGATTTTGATACTGTGAATTGACTGGTGAATAGTGGCACTCAAAGCCGTGGGCAGGATTGCTGTACGAACAGATGTCGCCAACGTCAGTGGTGGGAGGGCTGAGCGGGGTGTGGCCAAGCCCCCCCTGGCAGCCGTTCCACCAATGGCGTTGGTGACAACCGCCCGCCTCCAGCAATCGTGCCCACTGCCTCTAATGCTGTGTCTAGGTGGTTCTGTACAGAGGGTATAACTAATCAGATTTAAGTTCAAAAATCCTATGAATGAGATTTGTATCTTCCTTGTATTAGCAGTAACTTTTCTGTAATGTTCGATCAAGCTAACATGTGCTAGTGGTGCGGTCGCGGCGCGAACGCACGCGCTGTGACTGGTTCCCACTATATAAGATACCCAATGTTTGTGGAACATTTTTCTCGTTTGTAGTGGCCATAGAAGCGGTGATAACTTTACGGTGAAAACAAGACTTTTAGTCCAAATCGCGAAAATGGAGTGGGCGTGGTGTACTTTATTTGAACGAGGCGGAGGCAATGCTTCTATTGGGATGTTTTCTTTTTGGAAATTTCCATTCATATATTTGTTGAGCACCGGGAAAAGTGACAGTAGATAGATGGCTTCGAGTAGAACTATTTCATGGTAAACGCCATGTTCAGATGAGGTACCCAGCCACGTCCACTATGTCTCTGAGATATAGACTGGAAGAAGGTGTCATTGTAAAGTTCTCGAATCTGGTTAATTAACACTTTCTTAGAAATCAGCTGTGTTTCACATGTACGGGTTGTGGGAATCACAGTGTACAGCTGTGATTCCTAAATTATACCCAGTGTTTAAATATTATTTATAGGAGTTTATTATTCGATAATTTCTCAGAATTCACGATGAGTGATGTCTTTTTGGTTTCACCTCATGTTGTGTTCAAATAATATTACTGTATCATATATACTGTCCCATTAAATGGATACTGCTTATCGAAATGTCATTGTACTAGTATTTCTTGTAAGATTTCAGTGCCGAGAAATTATTTGATTGTGCAAACAGAATACCAAAGTTTGTTCTCAAGTGTACCCTTATGAATGAATATGAAGTGAATATGTGTACTGTTTTTGAAGTCACTTATGAAAGTAGTCTGAGAGACTGATAGGTTTGTAGTGAAGATCTTTAGAAACTGGGAACTGAAACTGGAAAATGGAATTAAGCTCGATCTCGTAGAGAATGGGGTCAGGTCAGTTTTATCCGCCATTGTCAATGTGGGGTTCTTATCGAGTTTCGTGCTGTGAATGCCATCACCTCAGAATGCAGCTGCACGTGTCTTGAAACATTCCTCGCCAAGGTGACGTCTTATTCGCCGCGGATGAAGGGGCGTGTAAAACGGGGTGGGCGGTGCCAAACCCCTTTTCCTCCACTTGCTGAAGCAAGCAGGCGGCAGGCTATAGCCTGTCAATCGTACCGAAAATTTTCCACCAACTTTTGTCGCTTCCCCGCTCCAACAACTGGTGGAAAACGGAATTGGCAACGCGCCAAACCCAACCCGCCTGATACGTCTCTCCATCGGCAGCGAACGAGACTGTATCTGGTTAATTCGGCGGGCAACCAGTAGTCAAAAGTGTTAATGCTGGGGCTATGTGAATGAGAACTATCTAGCCGTATAACCTGATAGTAATAGCGAAAAGAAATGCTGAAAACGTGGTGAAAAAGCTGAACTCCTTCAAGTTTCGTCGAGCGGGACCACTAGGGAGGCGTCAGAAATGCTAGGGTCCCAGCGCCTTCGTCACTTACGGTGAAGCCCCTAAAGTGGAATAATCTTGCAAATTGAGGAGCAGACTACTTGTACAGGAAAGGACGTCCGCGAGTTGCTCGAGCACGGGTGCTGCCTAAGGCACCAACAGCAGGCTCCCTGTCATCTGCCTGAGCGTCTGCAAATTTTATCCTTCTCAATGGCGGTATTCCACTTTGTTTTTAACTGATTTGACCACCAAGGAAATGAGTTGTTTTTCAAAGAGAATACGTGTCAGCACACATGTAGATATTCATGGTGTTTGAATGGCACCTGTGTCAACATACATACATGCAACGTATGGCTCTTTCTTGTTCTTTCATAAGCAATTTTGTTTGTGCGAAGCCATGAACAGCAGGGGCATAGGCGGCTAGGAAACCTGCTGTATTAAAGGCTGTTGGCGCGATAAATCTCCAAGACGGGTACTAATAGAAGAGCCGGATTAAGTACCCTTGAGCAAGCGCTGCATGGCGTCTTTTCCAAGAAAGGTTTCCTTATACAGGCTTACTAAACTGCAGCATCAGGTACTGTCGTCCATTTGTGGGCGGGCAGACGCCCATCGTGCCCGCCCGCGCACAAAGATTACAGTACCTGATGCTCGTATAGCTTCATTTGGTTTTTGACCGTTTTACTTAAATTTTTCGCCTTTTTCCCATTGTTCAGCACCCCTGCTACCATTCTGGACGGAGTATGCCAAGTGCCTTTAAGTCAGGTACGGTGGTCCCACTCGGCGTACACCATTGCTGAGCTAATTCCATCAATGGGTTTGTCTAACTGGAAGTAGGAAGGGGAGGAAGAGAGTGAGATGGAAAAAATTTGGGGAGTGGGTCTTGTTGACACCCCATTTCATCTATTCTGTTGCTGTTCTCTGTCCTCTGTAGCAAGAAATTGTTATGAATTTAGTTTAAAAAAAAGTCATGAAGGAGAGCAAGTCCTATGAGTGACGCTTTTCAGTTGTCGAACTTTCAGATGCCTTTCTGTGGTTCAGAAACAGGAGTCTTAATCAATATTTTTAATCAATATTCCAATGCTATTGGAGCTTTCTGTCTCTACGATAATGATAACAGTAACAATTTTCACCAGTTTTATTACAGAGGTGATCTTAACGAGTGGACATAATGATGCTGCCTTATGAAAGGACTGAAGACTAGTTACTGTAGCACACTCATAAAACAAAAACAAAAGCACTTGAGCAACATCGCTTTGTGCCACTGCAGGGCATGTACTGTATTACAACAAGTATTGTAGTGAACATCGAAATGGTATAACTAATCGGCTCCCTCGTGTGGCGGCTCCTCGGGTGGTATAATATGGACTGCAGGGCCAACATCAGGCTTTTCATTTCTGCTTGGTTCCTCCGGATCTGGGGTTTCGACGGTTTTCAACTCGTCGTTACTTTCTGGCCTTCGCTTGGCACACTTGTCTACTATAAGGCGAGACAACCATGCAAATAAAGCAATGAGTAAAACAGTGACCAATATGAGTGGAATAAAAATATCCAGGTGGTAATGTGTGAAGCTTCCATTCGATACGCTTGAGTATGACCTTGGCGTTACACCGTGCTTTGCTGCATATTCAACAGTACGCACAAGCTTTTCGTTCCTTGACAGCAGCTTTGATTTCAGTACTTCCGACAAAGTCTTTGATGATTCGCGTATACTGAAACCATTACTTATATTCCTACTCAACGAGACTGACGCTCTCAATTTTCGGTGAGTCAGTTTTCATAAATGCCTGGCGGACATCTGCACTCCTTATCCCTGAGACGGAGTAGGCGTGGCCACAGCCACGTTTAGTTGGAGTACACGCCACGCCTACCCCATCTCAGGGATTAAGTATAGCTAGATGTTGTCACGCGATTTCGCGCTCCTTTCGGCATGCCGCGAGGGCGGTAGTCGATTTTAGGCGTTCACTGAGCGTGAGGATTGGAGCAGGCGTAAAAATGTGGAATGCCATGCGACTCAATGAGAGTGGACGAGAGTGAACCAACATGCATCAACTGGCGTGGGCGCTACATGTCCAACTGTGCGCGACCTCCTTGATGTCCTCCCACACAGTCCGCTGAGTCCTGCTGTCTTTCAACGCCCTTCACAACCAACCCTAATCGATCTTCGTGAGATTCGCCTCTTCCATTCGCAGTCGTAGTGGCGTTGTGATAGCTACTTTTCAGTGCGCTTACCTGCAGGTTCTGCCAATGGACAGTTAATGTTTCCTCCGTCCCAAGCAAGTCTGGCCAACGAGCCTTTCCGAAAGCTGGAACCTCTGCTGGCATGGGCCTGTGTCATCCCAGGAATTGACCCCTAGATCCCATACGTTGTGAACAGCGCTATTTCCCATTTTAATGGTCTATATCCTTACAACTAGTACGCCGTTGAATGAAATCCGAAATATTACGAAAATGAAGGAGTGAAGTGGTTAGTGCCGATATCCCTTCCAATATGGGCAACGCATCGCATCCAAAACAACCGAGAGTCCATGCGCGCGCGTGGGCTTTATGACGGCTTACGGGACTTAGTTCTGAAAGGGAGCTCTCTATCCAGATAGATGATGCTGGCAGTGATTCACTGTCCCTCGAATAAAAGAGTAGCGTGGTTGTCCCTCGCGGGATTTCAGCCACGCGAGTGCGATGCGCGGCTCCACCCATCTGGGCCCAAACACTGCTTGAGCCTTGGATTCTACGAGACCACAGTAATCATAGAGTGCTGTTACGGCGAGAGAGCGCAGACAAGAGCAGAAAATGAGGTGTAGGTAATGGGTCGTTCTTAAAATTATCAAGCTGCGCATTAGTCGTTTTAGATATCATTTAATAGGATTAGATAATTTTTCACTGAAAGATAAAACTAGTACTTACTCCGCGGCAGAGCTCTGCCTTATCATCTCCTTCACATTTTTTGAAGTAAGAGAGTTGCATCCTGCTACAATTGCAGCTCCTCGCTCGTGTAGTCGGTCGCAATTTCCTTGTTGTTCGAAGTTTGTTGGAACACATATCACCTCAAATTAAGTTGGTCAATTATGAACCTTTTGCTTTGAGCGTGCAGGAGTTTGTTTTCCATTTTTTGCGGATAAGAACACTTGTTTTCTCGTTGAAAGGGGAGTGACCACGGAGTAGGTTGTGAGAAGGTCGACAATCGGCAGATGACCGTAAAGTATAAGTAGAGAAACTCAGAAGAATGCGTGTGTGTAAGAGGGTGCGAACAGTGTAAGAAAAGGTCCGTGCTCCACTCACTCTCTTTCTGAACCGACAGCTATCTACCGCCGCCGCGCTCACAAGTTTCAGTTCAGTATGGTTTCAAATCTTATCATCAGTTCCTTGAAAACCCGATCAGAGCAGATGTGTTCTCGATGCAAGATGATATTTGCCTCTACAGGGCATGGCGCAGCAAGGAAGTACTCTTCTTCCCTGGCGTTAGTCTCGCGCCGTCGCAGGGTCTGCTAATCGGGGGATACCCGAGGTTGGTTATTTGAGCCGCTTCGAGAAGGGTGTTTCACTTAGGTCGCTGAAAGGGGTTATAACTGAGAACGGCCAAATTTCAGGATATGGATATTTGGCAGTTCTGATGTAAGAACTATAATATTACCCTCTTCATAAATTGACGAGAATGAAGGTTGCTCAAGAACCGAGTTTCCTTCCTGCTATAGAGTGCCCTGGTGGAACAGCACAGAGGTCGCCTTCCAGTGTGGCGTCAGGTCCATTACCCGAGCTCAAAATTTCCAATCCAGAGTGAACTACTTGCGCTTAACCTGTTAGAAACCGGGAGCTGGTATTGGTCACACTGTCATTGGCGATCTGAGAAAGGCCTCTCTCAGGGGTTGGTGAATCGCCAAAAATTTGTTTGAAAAGGTTCAGCCCTCCGGCTGTTTACCCAAGCTCATACTACATAGGCTAAACCTTGTATCACTTACAGGTTTTCCTCCAGCTACGATGTCGTACAATGAGCTCGTTCTTCCATCGGTGATAATGACAGTCACTCGGGGATCAGCTATAAATTAAACATGATATTATCCGCAAAGTTCTTGATTAACTATAAATCAACGAATAAAAAGGAATTACAAATAAAGTATAAAACTATATAAAGTGTACAAAAATCGAAATAATAAATAAAACACTCGAATATCAATTTATCGAATTTAGTAAAAAATATTAATAATAATAATAATAATAATAATAATAATAATAATAATAATAATAATAATAATAATAATAATAATAATAATAATAATAATAATAATAATAATAATAATAATAATAAATAATAATAATAATAATAATAATAATAATAATAATAATAATAATAATATAATAATAATAATACACTCCCAGTTTCTCAGAATAAGAAGACAGATTAAGGGGCAGAAGAAGTGAAGAATAATAAAAAAATTAATAATAATGGTAATAAAATTGTCAACATAAGATGCTGAGCTTTGGAAACAGGACACATCATCGTTGGGGCTTCCCAAACGGGGGGGGGGGGGCGTATTTGGTCGCTGAGGGGGTCGTACTGGATCTGAAATTTTTTTTGATAGTTGATTATTCTTTTTTTCCGAACGCTATAAAGGAGCGGTGGTCGTACTTGATCGCCGGTGGGAGGAGCGGGTCGTATTTGCTTTTCCGTAGTTGGGAAAAATTTCTTTCTGGTTGTGGAGTTTTTGCGGTTCTTTTTTGTTTCAAATTAGAAACAAAGAAAAACAAATATTGGGGAAAGGAATACACTCAACATCACAGATGATCCGTTTCGCCCGTTATCGTAGACGAATCATCGATGTCTTACCAACCCCCGGGCTCCTCAGTACGATAGAGTTGAGACATGGACATGGACTACATAGGGGAAGGAGTTAAGAAAAAGGATAAGCGAGAAAAAATGCAAAAAAAAGTTGACATGCAAAATTCCATGCAAAAAAGATGAAACTGTGCAAGGTAAATGAAAGAAGGAAATAACCGGTGTGAGTACAAGATTGGTGTAAGAGGAAGAAAAATGGATTGTTGTAGATGGGCTAAACAAACTAAGGTAATAATGAGTAAAAGACACTGTCGCAGCGGATAAAAAGGTTAAATCAAAAATTTTGTGGTAAAATGAGAGCTAGTGTTGAACACCGCTGCCAATGAGAATACCTCTAACCAGTCTACTTATCTTTTTATAGTTATTTGCAATAGAGTATTTGTAACTTATAAATTTATTTTTGTAAATACATTTCACAATGCTAGTAATAATAAAATCTTCTTCGTAGCCATTTTTCGAAAGAGTCGTGACCATATCCGTTATTTTGCTTACGAATACATTGAAGAAAGAACAAGTGTTTGCTAACCTCAACGTTTCCGTATATATAACAGAGGATTTGTTAATAAGGGAAATGTTTGTGTCACTGTGGGGAAATCTAATTACATTGAAGCTAAAATCATCCGTTTTATTATACAGCTTGGTATTAATTTTACCGTTAGTAATATTGATTGCTAAATCTAAATAATTGCTGGAAACTTCACTTTTATGAGTTTTTTCAATTGAAGCGTATTTTGATAAACTTGAGAAAGTTGTTCATCCACATCACCATCAGTTTGGTTATGTACAACAAGCAAATCATCCATATATCTATATGGAATGAACAGCTTACTGTTATTAAACTTTTTGGATTTAGCATAGTAATACTCCATGACAGAAAGCGTAAGATCTGCCAGTAGTGGACTAAAATTGCCACCTTGTGGGACACCTTTAGTCTGCTTGAACGTATTATTAGCAAAAAGACAAAAACTGTTTCGTAAAAGATAGTCGATAAGGTATACTAAATCGCTGGATTTGTAATATCTGTAGTTGTTCTTAATTTCTTTACCATCTGTATAGAAAACATGGTAACCATTAGTGGCAATAAAGGATCTGTTGGCATTTTTGAAGCAAATGTTAAGAAGTTCTTGCATTTTCTTTATAATAAGATCATGTTCTAAATTTGTGAACATGTCCGTGAAATCCGCAGTGTAAATTTTGAGATTGTCGAACGTGATGTTGTGTAGTTCGTGACTTATATTAATATTACTTATAGACCAGTATGTCTTGATAGTCCTGTTGCGATTCTGTATTACTTTGGCGTAGTTAATAAAGTGATTTTTGAGATGTGTGAAGACTATGCGTAGTTCCTGGGCCAAAGGCTTAACACTACTGCTATGTGCACCTGTGATGTATCTGAATTTGACTGGATTCTTATGTAGCTTTGGTAAGGCATATATAGTAGGTATTTCTGCATCAATGGATATATTGATATTATTCTTTACACAAAGGAATTTATGCTTCAATATTAAAGAATACTTGTTAGTATGAGGCATTAATTCATATGTGTTATTACTGTTTCCATAGACAAATGTGTGGTTGGCAGCATCATAAGAAATGCCCATTTCATGCATTATGTTCAAAAGGTAGAACTTCTTGCAGATGATGCCATAGTTATTATTTGCTTTGTCTAGAGGACAGAACACGTATTTTTCTTGATATTGTTTGATTAAGTTGTAAGGTATGTGTTCTCCTATATTTTCAATATTAGCCTTTGTCAGTAGAGGTTTTACTTTGTCATGGTAACATGAACGAAAATGTTTCTGTAATAGATTAACCTTGTGATTGCTAGCTTGTATTTATATTTAAAATAATTCATGACCTTGATGAGTGTATCTTCAAACACCATTTTAACTTCTTGTCTTGTTATGCCTGTGTCTGATCTATATTTGGTCCCTTTACTCAGCAATCGTCTGAAACTCTCTTCTTTTATAAGATTTACATTTCCTGTGATAACGTGCCCGTAATCTTTATCCACATAATCTTGTACTGTATTTGTAGTACATATACAATCGTTGTTGAGTATCTGCTTCAATTTTTCGTTGTCGAGATCTTTCAACACTTCTTATGTGGTATATACCCCGTACGCCGTCACCCCTCCCCTGCTCGACAACTCCATTATAGGAGAGAACTAGTGGAGTCGTGTCAAACCACCTGTTAGCGGGGTTCTTACGGGCGCAGCTATTCTATTCTGGCTATTCCCAACTAACGAAGCCCTTTTCGGAGAAGGGTCCGCTTCAGGCAGGACTCCAACCTGGACCTTACGTTTCCGAGCTAACCTCTGTTGTAGAAAGCCACATAGTCTGTGAAATGGACCAGTGATCATAGAAACGGAATTTGCACACATGCACACATTCACAAGTTCTACGTGTGCATTGCCAGCAGGGCTGGTGGGTCACATTCCCGGTAGAAGCGCTGAGCCGTAAAACAAGCACAACTCAGCATTCTTTCTGGAAAGTTATAGTGCAGAAATTAGAAATAGCAGAAAAGTTTTCCGAGAGCGACTCACCAAGGAGATCAGTTTCTGAAAATCGGTTTATGAAAACGACGTTTGATTGGTTCTGTGCTTTTCCATTTGCAAGCTGCCAGATGAAGGTAGTGTCAGGAATCTCCAGAAATGCATCTAAAATCTTATATTATTAGGCTTTTCTATGTCCCGTGACTTTTTTCCGCGTTTTCATGACTGGAAATTTTGCCCAGGTGCCATAGATAAAAAGAAGAAAGTCTGGATTGTAGGGATCCGGTAGCACGCTCCTTTGCGAAAGTGCGTCAATGGCCGAGCGCTCGCGGAGGGATTTGAAGCGTCGAGGAGCGGTGCATAAAAAGTTAGGCGCGTTGGAGTTGTCACCACTAATTTCTGAGTAGCAAAATCATTTTGAGCGCAGATTGGGGGCTGAATTACTATGTACGCATAAGAAATGCATAGCGTCAGAGCTGATAAATTCTTCTGGATTTCTGAATTCATCGCGAACTTTGTAATAATCTGCCATTCTGAGGGCTTCCTTCTTTTTTGCTTTGCTGAAAGTGCGTGTTTCTGGCTGGAATATTGTTTATCTTGATCTTTGTATTTTAACTATATGACTGTCATTTTTTGAAATAGCTTCTATCAATGAATTGTTAAAGAGGTTGATTCAAAGAAAACTTTCGGGGTCCCATAGAAATGTACAAGTCTTTGAACTACTACTGAATTTCGGATATTATCAGCGATTTTCTTAGCATAGGATGGATGATTAGGCTCTAAAAATCCTCAAAGTGATACAAGATATGTAATGCTTAGGCAGAGAATTGACCGAACTTCTTAGAAGCACAATGATTAGTCTAACTCCGCCCATAAATCCAACGTGGAATGTGTGTTTGAACTGCCATACGGTAATACCAGGGGCAGCTCACAGCGAGATTATCGCCAGTCTTTATAGTTGTGACACAGCAGTTCTTATGAATATCAGACAAAGAAATGAAGTATGTTACTTACCTATTTCCCTCCTAAATGGTCGCTCTGCTGTCAAAATAACTTGTTATAAAAAACAAAACTTGTAAGCGGTTATAACCTAGTTGGTAGACCACTTGAAGGACTCTTTGTGCCGAACTAGAAGTACAGGGATCAAGGGCTTGTGCCCTGTCGTAGAGAATCAAAAAGCTGCGGGGTGGGTGGAGGACCAATTTCGAGTGGACAGTGCTATTTGGATGACTTCAATCCCAGTTTTGCGCAAGGAACCCTTAAAATGCCCCTCAATAAAAAACTAGCGCTACTTTGTGAAATTACAAATACACTCACGTAAGATAACAGCTGTTTTATCGCTGCACTGTGGTGATGCACCTTCAAACGACACAAGCACATTTCGGGCTCTCGTCGCTAGCAGGGTATTCCACTCCTGTGAAAGCTATCATTAAAAAGGAAAATTGATAATAGACTTGGAACGCGACTAATTGCTTAGAAGTGATTCCGTGTTCCATGGGTCATGAATCATTACTATGCTTGCACAATTTGACTCAAAATGACCCGAATACCCTTGACCAGAGTACTCCTTGTCTCCTACACGGCAGAGAAACGCGTTTTGTACACTAGTTTGCTTTAGGAACTATTGGTTCTACGCTCTCTGAGGATGTGCAGAGGTCGCATTTACGCGAGGTGGCGGGGCCACTCGCTACTGCACCACCTCAATTACCGTCATAAAGGATAAAAGGATAAAGCCTTCACCTTCAATATCTTTTTGAGATGCGGCACGCATCTACATACTTCAATTCGGAATCGTTGGCTCATACGCGGGGAATAGCCGATGTACAAGTCAGTTTTCTTATCGTCCTAGGCAAGTCTGGTATCAGTTTTCTGTCCCCGGAGAGTAAAATTCATAGTTAGCTTTGCGGAGGTGGTGCCGATCCGAAATTCGACCCCCTAGGACTGCGCGCAAGCCACTTGCCGCTACATGAGCTCCGCCCCGGTTAGTAAGGCTCTTATGGTTAATTGAGCATTGCCTTTAGGAGTTTATTAAGAATCGTGAACTGCCCCATAAAATAAACCTGATTAAGTTTCGATGGCTGTTTTACGCTCAAGCCACCAATGTAGACCCATTGCGATGTAAGTGCTCGTGGAAAATCCACCAGTTCATCGCTGTTGACAAGGAGGAATGATGTTTGCGCGACAGCATCCTGGAATGGAATTTGAATTCATACTCCTCGAAACCTGCTCATTTGTACATCATGAGTTTCATGCTGATATGCTGGCAGGCTTGTTATGACGGAACCGTTTTTTGGGTCCTACAGATGGTCCTGAACCTTGAACTGGCTTGGAGTTTTCCTTAGTCCAGCCCACAGGTGGTGTTCGGCTTAAAGGCAGTTGGCACGATAAATCCCCCAAGACGACTAGGATCAATACTCCTGGCAGGATAGAATTCCGCGACCCTGGGCAGGCGCTGCATAGCGGTTTCCCCGAGGAAGGTGCCCTTATAAGGGCCCTATCAAGCCACAACTTTACGTCCCAAACGCCCGCCCGCCCACAAATGGACGACCGTTCCTGACGCTCGTATTCATTCATTTGCTAAGCAAATTATGAAGCGAAGGGATTGGTATGAAGCGGCCGGCACATATGCAGCCGTATCTTCGGTAGCGGTGATTGGTAAGATGCCTACGGGAAACTCGTCCGAAATCGATTTACAAGTCACTGAGAACGGAGGCTTTTTCTTCGCAGGATTTTGACCGTTTCACTCCGTTCTTTCGCCATTTCCCCACTATACAGCGCCCTACTAGCATTTTAGGCCGAGCACCAATCATCGTGCCAACTGCCTTTAAAAAGGCACATTTTCCTAATTCGCTAGTTTCTTTTACTATTTCCTACAACCTACACGTCCAAACTTGCTGAGACCTTTCAAACCCTTGAAAAATGTAAACGGACGTCTTTGTAAAGCGTTTTCACAGGTCTTCACACCGGGAATCGGTAGTGTTCGTAACAACAAGCAAAATGGCCCACAAAGCGTAGCTGCGACGCCCAAACTGACGGGATTGTGGCCCTGCAAGCTGTGATCGAGTAATCAGAGCCATTTAAAGGCCCTGTATATGAAAACCTTGCAAAAAACGTACAGGTTGAAATTGTAATACCTGAATTGGAGTATAACGATCGCCAACCATACGCTGTCCCATATCATTCAGTGGACTTATCAAGCTATACTGTAGAAGCCTTTCCTCTGTGGGAGTGAATAGAACCGCTTTTGCTCTGAAAGAGGTCAGTACATCTGATTCTCCTAACAACGATGTAACTCGTGAAAGCACCAGAAATAAATTAGTTAGAAAAATAATAAAATACGTACCGTCGAAAATAAGGTAATGCATTGATAGTGGGGTTTTCTGGAAACAGCGTTTTTCAGAGAGACTGTACTTTTGTAACTCTGTAGTTCAGTCACCTGTTTCTGGTATGCCCATTATCCTGACTATCCACGGTGCAGGCTCGCTTGTTGTAAAAATGATTGATCTGCAATCAATAATAGCCAAGTGCAGTAGTTATGGTCGTGTTCGCTAGGGCATGTCAGGGGAGGGGTTAGGGAGAGGGCAGGGGGTGTGAGTATGGTACCGCGCCAGCATGTTCTCGACCAAGTACTGAAGCTGGCTACAAAGCACCACAGGCTGGATGCAAGCTGGGTGCAAGCTACAAAAATTTTTGGAAAACAGGTTGGCAGAGCGATAAACTCAGTGGTCCTCTCTGACACGCCCCAGGATCCGCTTTGGAAGAACACTGGGAACAGTCGTCGCTGGGGCAAAAAGTTAGAGACAATAAGTTGGGAAGGACACTAGAACACTAGATGCAAACGCAGTTGCGAGGGCCATGCAGCAGCACGTCTATTTCTGCGCTGCGAGGCGAAAGTGGTCGCTTCAGGGCACACCACCAAATGGCAATTTTAAGCTAGTTTTTTTAATTGTTATATTTTCTATAATTATAGTTATTGGTGCTAAGCATGATTCCCAAAATTTTCGATCGTGATGACTCACTTTCACAACCTAGCTACCCTACTCTCCGACTTTTCCCTAAACTTTAAAATTGAGCAAGTGGTGAAGGGCAGTAGGGAGGGAGAGAGGGATATATTTATTTCTCCGATCAGCTACAAGAAGTATTTGAAGCTTAGTCGTTTTTCCTTGTTATCGCTGGGGCGTGTCAGCGGGCTGCGTAGCGCGTGTCAGCCGGTTCCCCACCAATCACTGAAGCAGGTAATCGACAACAATTGGTGGAAAGCGATCGGCACCGCACTAAACCCGCCTAGCGTCTGCAAAGGAAGGGACCATAGTTGTTCAGCGGCGCCGCCAACTAGGGGGACATAATGCGCGTGAAAAAGGCAAAGTCAACGATCAGAAATTTGTCTCACAAAGAGCCCTCTCTCCTCGATGGCCAAATACACCCCCTGGTTTGCAACTCAGCGGAGCCCCCAGCATGCTCTGCCAAGCCTGAGCATTGCAAGGCGATGAGACGTAGGCGCCACGCCGAGTGGACCCGCTGAGATACGTGCGCGCCCAGAAACAACTGCTATATACGGTCTCGTCGATGCGACTACCATGGATTGGACAGTTAATATCCCTTTAAGCGAGCAGGCCTGTGGGGCGCGTTGGTTGAAGCGCACTCAGTGCGCCCTTTTCCACCAATGATGCCGTCCTGATTCTGCAGCAATTGGTAGAAAGTTTGCCTTGGCTGCGCTCCAGTGCACACCCCCTCACACGCCCTTTTTGCTGAGAGGGATAATGACTGCATGTAAGAAACAAAAAAATGAGCACAGACAAACAAAACAACCCACTTTTGTATCCCTGCCATACGGAGTAGTGGATGAAAACATGTGGCTCCGCTTGTGATGGCAATGTCAAACTTCTCGTTTCGTATCCAATCAATCACATCACTGCGTGCAAATACCTCTGCAATGCTCACAATTCATGTCACGGCGCATGGAGTGGGCGTGGCCATCGCTCTGATGTCTTACAATTAGGAAGACTTGATCGTCGGATGATCGCAAGGGATAAGGGATGTTCCAGGGAGCGAAAAGCTTGATGGACGAGGGCGAGGAGTAGCAGGTGCGGCTATAAGACGACTGAAGGGGTGATGCATTCCCACCCAGGGTACATCGTTCTGTGAAACACATGAGGGTTGTACTTGACCGCTCAGGAGGGAGGGGGGGGGTCGTGTTTGGTCGTTGTCGTCCTCGCCGACGAACCTCCCCCCCCCCCCCCCGCTCGACAGGAAATTTTTGGGTGAAAAACTGTTGGGAAGCTGGAAACTCGTAGAAAAGTGTAGGTAGGTTTTGGGGAAGAGGGGGGCGGGCGTACCGAGACCCATCTTCGAGGGGTGGGGTCGTACTGACGTCACCATTTCACATTATACTGCTGTACCCTGGTCCCGTCACCGCTGAAGAAGGCGTCATACTTGGTCTAGCAAATTCAGCATTGAAAGACGTGTCGCTTTTGAAACCGGGTATCTTCTCTACTGAAACACCTGAATTGATACTTACCATCCTGCCAGTAGAGTGCCTGGTCCCCCACACTGCACTGCCAACTCGGTGAACCTTTACTTTTGCAGTGGGGACCAACTGGCTGCAGTGGGCTAAGGGGTTTACATCTGTGTAACACATAATCTGAGGTAAATGAGGTCAGTTCGGGAAATCCAAGGCGTGTCAGCTTCTTGTTGGTCGTGGCAGAGACTCGCGGAGCAGACATAGCCGCGCTGCCACCTGCCCACGCCCCCTCTCGCTCGCTCAACAACAGTCGTCATTCGGGCAGTTGATTAGGCGGTCAAAGGTCGCAGACGCGGCTGCGGCGCGTCACGACCGCGGCGATCAGCTGTTTCCAGCCTGGTTTAGCCATTTTCTCCCTGATTTTCACTGTATTTTCTACTTTTTTCTAGGTAATTTGTGTTATTCTCTTTGTGAAGTATATTAGTACGTGGATGCTTTTTTGTTTTGTAATGGGGTTTTCTTTGCGATTTCTAAGGTATTTGTTTGATTGTATTGTTTGTTTAATTTTAGTTGTTCGCAAAATTTAGAAAAATCTCAATTATAATCCACCTTGTGAAGACGAGGAACAACTAACAAACTTAGGAGAGAACCTTGTGAAGACGAGGAACAACCAACAAGCTCGTAAGCTTAAGAAAAGCAGGCCAAAAACAGTGAAAAGTAGGGAGAAAATGACTAAACCAGGCCGGAAACAGCTGATCGCCGCCAACAGTTCCTGCGTACGCGGTCGCTGCTGCAGCCGCGTCTGCGACCCTTCGCGACCGCCTAATCAACTGCCTGGATGACGACTGTACGTTAGCGCCACCATGGACATTCTCAAGGGGACATGACACAGGTTGACATGGGGTGATGTTTCCGTTGCACACTCAAACCAATCCCAAAAATGCGATTATAAACTCACTTTCACAAAACATGAGCATGTCATTTGATAGCCTTGTTATGCCTCGAATACGTTCCAACACGCTGAACTGATTCCATGCATTGACAAGGGCCTCACTTCTTACCCCATAATCAACCTGCTGGAAACAAAGACAAGTGCTGTTTAATGAAATTGTTTGATACAGGAAATTTAGAATGTCTACAAGATTTGGTCTTACCTTCAAAATATATCGGCTTGATGTAGAGCGTGGGAGAAAAGGAGGGGCCGCCGAAAGTAGGGTCTGAAATCAGGAAATACCCTCGTTAAATTGTCTCCAGAGAATGTGTGACGCACCAAGGCTCAGCTATTCTAAAACTGAATCAAGAGTACTAGCTAGTCAAAGTTCTTGGACTACTTCAGAGTTTACTGAACAATTATGTCACAATCGTCATTCTGACTCTTGCGCTGTGACGAGCGAGCGACCGCCCTCCATGAAAAAGGAGTTGTCCTGCCCAACCGCTAAAATTCAAGTGTCAAAGGGACAGGAAAGATTACAAGGAATCTCGCCTTTACACGATTTATGGGGTTCGCTGCTCCAGTTGCCAAGCTGACGTAAAACGAAAAAATTTGCCGCGCATCGCCCGATTTGTCACGCGCGAGCGCGGGACGCGACACATTAGTTTCGTCTTTTCCGTCTCCAATTTGGATTGTAAATTTTTTTCTTTCATAGCCCTCAAACTTCATTCACGCCAAAATACTACATCTGCTAGATCATGATTGATCTGTATTATAAGTGAACAGTGGAATAAAGTTGCGTTCATACTTTGCGGCAGCAGCCACCAGCAACCAATAGCGTCCATCAGTGTTAAGAACTTCCGGCAGCGTCAGCGACTAGGAAGTATAGATATGGGTCTAGCGTCTGCTAGCGTCTGCTAACGTCTACCAGCATATCGAGGGCAAGGGCAGCATAGGTATCGATTTAGCGTCTGCAAGCGTCAACCAGCGTTCATCAGCGACCGGGGGAAGCGAGAGCGTCTTCTCCCAGACGCTGATAGACGCTGATGGACGCTGGCAGACGCTAGAGAGAAACCTATACTCCCTAGCTTTCGAGGCGCTCTTGGACGCTAGTCGACGCTGTTGACACTGGCAGACGCTAGATCGACATCTATACTTTCCCAGTCGCTGAGCCGGAGGCTCTGTTAGACGGTTTTGGTCGCTGGTGGACGCTGCCGCAAAGTCTGAAGAAATCGCAGAGAGTTAATGTGAAACACTAGGAACGCTCTACGAAATAAGCTGCCTCAAGACATGGGATTGTTCTTAGTGTGTTCCCATCGTTCGCTATATCAGAAAGGCCCGAAAGGCAGGCAAGAGGAACACGACGTACTGAGTTGCAACAAAGCACGTGAGTGAACAGGCAAACTAGACCTGACTTCCAACACACACCACACACACACACACACACAAGTGCTCCATTGACACAAGTGCTGCACCTTGAGGACAGAAGTGAGACTGTGCAGACAAAAGCGCGCTTGGCTAATGGTTAGGCGCGAATCAACCTGGCGGTACAGCGGGGGGAGTCCCAAACAGCACCCTGGCATCACTACCCTTCAGCCTTATTTCAGCACGCTTTCAAATGTTGAAGGTGTTACACTTGTAAATCTGCCAATTCGTTCCTGCCCACATGAGAAATATCGTTGTTTGAGGTAAGTACAGTTTGCATTTAGGGTACCTTAGTAAGATTACTCACCACTTGCCATCCAGCATTAGCAAGGATATCAGCGATTTTTGTCAGAAGATGAATAGCAGCAACATCCTCCTTTGTTCCAACATCACCAAGACTTTCAATGGATTCACTGGCTTTTCAGCTAAAAGAGCTATCCTATCGTCAGAGAAGAAGAGCACCACTTGTTACAGAGTTTATCAACTGTAACAGTACAATTTTCTCGGAACTTCAGTAACCTGCCGGGGCTCTAGAATCTATAATCTTCAGTGTCTATTTTTTAATAACTCGATAGAATAAAATCACACGAAACGTTATCGTACCACTCGTCATATGCCCTTCAAAACCAAAAATAGCAGAAAAAGGCGTCTTGGCGAACACTCTACCACCTGAACACGCGACCGCTCCGTACATCAGGGCGAAAGACTGAGCACTAAATTTCTGATCCATCTTAGTGGAGAGGGCCAGTTCAAGGCGGCGAACCCGAATCAAGCCTTTCGCAACGCCCTATCATTTGCCAGAGATCCGGACCTATCCCCCCTTGTACACTCGAAACATCTCTGAGCATTGCGCGTAGGCGTGAGTGGGTTACTTTAGCCTAAATATTTTTAGGAAATGTTTTGTGGAGGCGTATCATTTTGAGGACGTATTCTAGTCATGTCTCTCCGTTCAACAGATGAATAAACACTTGTCTCACAACGTAAGAGAGCATTTACGTGTGACCCATTCTATGCCATGATTGGATGCCACGCCAACTCCATCTAAGGGATAAGGAGTTGAAATAAGCGTGGCCTCATTAAAATTTCCGTATGTGACCGGTACATCCTGGAATCGCTGATATTCAGCCACGATCATTCTTTGTTTCAACTCCAGAGTTGTTGGCTGGTTCTTACCATATTATTCCGCAGTAATTTTTTTTATGTGGACAGCATGGTCGTGATTGGGTCAGAGAAATTTTCAGCTGTTCACTGAACTCACCATTATCAAGTAACTGTAAGTTATACCTGAGACGGTGGAGGGGAATTTAGGATTGCTGACAGTAACTTTGTTCGTGCGAATAACAACGGCTTGACGTGTAGACGCACTTTTATCATTGATAGTTATTTGAGCATGACATGCACAGGCGATCAATAGAAAAAAGAAATTTGTGAACATGTGCATCTGAAAGGAGCTGAAAGGATTCTCGAAGAAAAATAGAAAAGATGGGCGTATTGGGCGGAGGATTTTGTGCATTTCATAAGAGATAGATGTTTACTTCACGATTCTCAGCTTTTTACATAAAATATACATTAAAATATATGGACCACAGGCCAGTAAGCGCCAATTAGAATCGCGACCTTAGCGCTTTACTTGCAATGTGTGTACACCGGACCACTGGGAGTCATGTCCTTGTCCTGCACAAGGCAGGATGACAGTTGAATCATGCGGGAATAGCCCTCGAAATATGGTAGAATTCTGGGCGATGCTCAAATGAGGTACGCAGCCACACCCCCTCCGTTCCTCCCGTTTCTACGTAGAGTGTAGGTGAACTGTAGGTAGCGCATCCAGGTTGAGCGCAAACTAGCACTTTTTATCGTCATATTTTCAAAGCGAAGACCATCGTTTTGGATACCTGCATCAAGCCACAATGTTTACGTCCCAAACGCCCACCATGCCCGCCCGCCCACAAATGGACGACCGTTCCTGACGCTCGTATTCATTCATTTGCTAAGCAAATTATGAAGCGAAGGGATTGGTATGAAGCGGCCGTGATGCTGCATGCATATATGGGTACACATATGCAGCCGTATCTTCGGTAGCGGTGATTGGCAAGATGCCTACGGGAAACTCGTCCGAAATCGATTTTCAAGTCACTGAGAACGGAAGGCTTTTTCTTCGCAGGATTTTGACCGTTTCACTCCGTTCTTTCGCCATTTCCCCACTATACAGCGCCCTACTAGCATTTTAGGCTAAGTAGGAAACCATCGTGCCAACTGCTTTTAAGCAACACGAAGATTGCTTCTAGAAAGCGACTGGCAAGGGTGTTGAAGCCGTCGTTCGCGCTACTGACCCCACCTACTCGCGGCCCCACCCAGAACTGGACAACATTAGAGAATGCGTGAACCTCTTCAGTAATCTTTCTGGTAACTTATGCTCCATCTTCGCTCTATCAACCGCTGAACAGTGTGGTTTCGGCGCTGTTTTTTTCTTCGTATAATCATTCAGCGCCCCTAATTAAGTAGAAGGAACTAAGGCCTTGTTTGAGTGTTTTAGACGCTTTTATCTTGATTTGTTGAGTCACCTGTTTCCTACAAAAGTTCGTTTCTACTCCATTTCCCACAGCTTGCAATTCCGGAAGGTATCATTACAAATTGAATTTTATGATACAAGAATCGCTCAAAAAATATGAGATGAAAAGAAAAAGACAGAACGTCGGAAAATACGCACTGGACACCGTGTGATGTTTTTATAGAGAAAATAGCACTCGTGCTTGTTTTGTAACCGCCATCGACTCTCCAAGACGATATCTGTGTTGACC